GTTGTGGAATTGTAAAATAAATAAGGAGTTCAGTCATGAGTTTTTAGTGGAATAATTCATGATTAATTATAATAAGAATAATTCAGTTGGCAGCACAAGTGGGCATGTGGGAGGAGCTCTCAGGTTCGATCTCACCAAATACACCTACAGGGAGGGGCGAAGAGTCTGAAATGTGACTAAGTTCCAATCCAGATTTAGTCGGTCCCTGATAATAAGTCCTGCTTTTTGACAGGTTGATAGATACTATAATAAAGAGTGTCTGTTAGCAATTCATACTCATAACCAAAGAATACAAATATTAACTAATTTTCGGATATCGATGGTTTAAAAAAAACACTACGAATCATGCAGATAAAATTTGTTAAAAATGTCAAATCACCAATCCAAGGATCAGATGATGTGGTATTAAAACAGAACCCTTTGAAATTGATGAGGTTTGCTTGCTCTGGTTTCTCTCTCTATTTATTTGTTTATAGAGATATAGAGAGAGGAAGCTTTGGAAAATCCCATAATGAAGAGAGGGGAGAGACAGTTCACTCACTATGAGCTTATAACAAATAAGGTGGTTGCGTCCAATATGGGGGAAGAAGAGAGTTTTGATGTTTGGGTTGATACCTAAGGGCATTTTAGTCTTTTTATCCTAATTTAACAGTCAAAACTCTTACAATTGGATGGAAGGACTATTTAGAATGACAAACCTAAACCTCAGGGACGTGCTAAATATTTGACCAAACAATGAGTACTACTTAAATAACTTGGTCATACCTCAGAGACGACAACCTCCAGTTAGATGCCACATCTTTCTCGTTATCTCTGCTGGTCATGCTCAAAAAACTAAAAAAGCATATGACAACTTTTGGCATTTCATATGCAACAAAGTGTGGACGACAAAAATAACACAATAGAATATTTCTAGGAAGAGAAGCAAGCAAAAATTATGAATGAGATACTTTCATGTTATTCACCTGGGCTGCAAACATCGATTTTATGCTCAACTTTTCAAGAAACATCTCTGCAATATCCGGGGTTGGTGATCGTGAAGCAATAGCTACATCAATTCCCTTCTCTTTGAGTGCATATAATATGCCTTTAGCATGGGGATACAGAAATGGCATTTCACGTTTTGAGCGACATTCACTCACTGTGAAGTTACAGGATCCAAACTGACATTAGATCTCTAAAATTAAATATGCCTTTATGGACGAAACAGAATATCGTTATGATGGCAATCAAATCAAGCTTCAGAATTTTGTGAATGCCTTCAACTAATTGATATTGATGCTCCATTTTAAACGACAAGTGTTCTGATTGTTGTCGTTGGAGCACCCATGTGTTGGTTTAACTTGTTAACCTTTCTTACAAGTTGGAAGATGTTGATTTTCATTCTTTTGGTTCAATTTTGCCCTAAAAAATTATCAGTTGCATTATGGATACTTACAAAATAGCCAGAGACTAGTAATTGCTGCCTAGTTGCAGGTGATGAGCAAGAAATACTGCTTAGACCGCTTAGACCACTGGGCTAGCTACTAATCAAATTGCTACTTTCTTTTCTTACATGCTTATAGATTTACAATTTTGAATTGTGCAATTCTAGATTATTTTAAAGAATTATCAATTCAATTGCAGTATGGAAAATATACAAAATCTAGATTAAAAAAAAAAGGAAGAAAATTTGATACCCATAAACTAGTAATTCTTGCCTAATGGTATGTCCTAAATGAAGAGAAGCAAATGATGAACATGATCTGTTTACTAGAGACTTAAGCAAAGCCTTCTCTAATCCTTTATCTAAACCACTTTCTAGGATTGAGAGTATGTACTCTATCAAGAGCGAATCACATGCAATTCTAATAGGGCCTTCACTAGGATTGAGAGTATGTACTCTATCAAGAGCGAATCACATGCAATTCTAATAGGGCCTTCACTTGGTAGTCCAAATTCTTCTTCTGAAATCCTAAACAGCTCTTGGAAAATGTAAGTGTTGAGATATGTCAAAGGTATCACAAATCGCTTCCAGTCACTAGAGTAGACAACAAAATGGCCTTTACTAGCCACAGATGATGCCTTGGAATTGGATTTAGTCTCATTCCAATTGGGTTTTCGGAATGAAATTTTTCTCCTCCTAATTTCAGCTACGCTCTGCTACTTCCTGGCAATTTTCTTGAGTCTTCTGGTGCTGATCATGGTCAGTTCTTATTTTTACTCTAGAAGAAGATGAGGGTTTGAGAGAAATGCTTAGACAAGTACATCAATGGAAGTGGGTTGTGCGCTCTTATATATCTTGAGAAATTTCATTTTCTTTTTGACATTTTCTATGCAAAAGCATTGAATTAGCTGGTTTTGTGCAAAGATTTGGTTTTTAACATTTTTATTAGTAATCATACATACCAAAGTCTCTCAGGTTAATTTCAAATTAGTTAACAAAACAATGCAGTTGAAGACAGTTACATAAACAACAGTATAGCACTAGTCATTTTTGCAAGGCTAGTGCTTTGAATGAAAGCCAATAAAATTTCTGAGGATGAAATTATGGGCTAATGGGTTAATCACTTTGTTTGAAGTTTTTGGCACTTTTAGATTTTATAACTGTATTAGTATTTTAAAACAATTTATTTGATATTAAGTGAGAAACTATAACTTGTTAAATATATGTTAAATGTGAAACTATAACTCATTTTGTGGTTTGTATACAAAATAAAAATTATTCTTTATTCTTTTAATTAATTTTTGTAGATTATTTGTCACTGCGAATTACTTTTTGCATTTGCACTGAAACCACCAATTGAGTTGGAGTTCTAATGCAACATTATCTCTCTGGCAGAAAAAACATTAGATTTGTAAATAGCTTTCATTTAACATTGCACTTGTAAATAGTTATTGTAAGAGTATTATTTTTGTCCAATCCTTTTATTAGGTATTTCAATAATGATAGAAAATATAAATTCCGAAAGAAATGACTTACTAATCAAATGGAAACAAATTACAAGAATATATTCATGTAAGAATTAAATGGCTGATTTCACCAAGCTATAAATATTACATCTGATCGATAATACTTATAACATTTGAAATTTCACGTCTTTTAGGTAAACCATTAAATTTATCTAAATTACAATAAATTCTTGAGTAAATTGATTATATTACCCTTAATTTAATAGAAATTCTCTAAGAAAACGATTAAATTGAAGTAATAATTATTAGTTATATACAAAGGGTAAACATGAAAAAAAAAAAAGATTTATTACTCCTTAAAATCACTTATTACTCCTTAAAATCACACATGTGACAAGTATTTTGAAACAGACTATATTCTCAAATGTGACAAGTATTATAAAATAGAGGTCGTAGTAATTTATCCTATTACAAGTATTATTGTTAAATACATTATGTAAACGTGAGATGTATCTTTAAAATCAATCAAAAAGAAAATTAACTTGGTCTAAATGCAAATAACTAAAAGAGAAAAAGACCTGTGGTTGTTCAGATTTCTAAAATCTTGATCAATGTGCTGCATCTAATTTTAAAAGAAGAGAAGCATTAGGTATAAATTTTTCTTGAATAATAAATTTTCTGAAACTGTACATGTTAAACTAAAGATCTTCAAAATTTATAGGGATACATTTTTATTATAGAAAATTAATTCTTAAAACACTTAATATCAAATAAAGAATAATCACACTCATCTCTTTGAGTAGACAACAAAATGACCTCTACTGGCCATAAAAATGCCTTGGAACTGTTCCTCTTGCAATTGGTTTTTGTAAGCGAAATCTGTGCCTTCTACTGCCTGCTATGTGCAGCCACTTGCTTGCAATTTTGTTCAGTCTTCTTGTGCTGATCATGCTTTTTAATTTTAACCCAGAAAAAGATGGAAGGATAAGAAGAAATGCTTATAGTCCAGTGTAATTTTAACCCAGAAAAAGATGGAAGGATAAGAAGAAATGCTTATAGTCCAGTGGAAGGCTATAATTAATCATCTTGGTGTTGAGATTTTCTATGGAAAAACATCATTTATATTAATTAATTAGCTGGTTTTCAATTGTTAGTTTTTGTATTACTTCTTATCAATTTTGTTAGCAGGTCATAGATCCCTGAGTCGGAGTATTTAACTTATTGGTGTATTTGTTCTGCAAAATATAACAAAAGTATGCAGTTGATGAACCGACACTTCCTCTATCCACAAACATAAATTGTTTTAAGATAGTTGTTTTGTCTACAAATATAATATCTAAGAGTAATTAATAAGATTTATCCTTATTTGTATTAAATAAAATAACTATCTCTATAATTTTCTAAAGTGTAATTTAATCAAATTATTTAACATTTTGTTATAATTTAAGAGAATTAATTGTTTTCCTAATTACTGTGCAACAACCTTAAACGACCTATATTTGTGGATAGAGGAATTGTTACATATAACCAACAATATCACGTCATTTTTCGAAGCTAGCACTTCAGGTGATGGAAACTAAGTAAATAAACATGAATCTAAAAGATTCATAAACATAATACAAACGTAAATCTAGTTAAATACATGAAAGAGATAGCTGACAAGAAAAACTGTTACAGCAGCATTGAAATGAATGTGTATTTTATTGCCATATGTATTAGTTATAGTAAGATTTAATGTCCTTCTAAAACAATGTGACAATGCAATGCATAAAAGAACTGAAAAAGAATCTAACAAAGTTCACCTTGGATGAAAACAATAAAGCATATAAAAAGATGCAAACAGTTCCAACATACGAAGAATTAATGAGTTCTCAAAAAATTTACATTTGAGATCATTTTAAGAAATAATGAAACTAGTGAGAGCCCATTGAAGATGTTGCATTTCATTTCAAGTTTAACCAAATTTGTAGAATTGCAATTCATATTTGAAGGTTGGAGTTAAAAAAAAAAAATGTCTATTTTTGAAGGTTTGGATATAATTATAATTTTTCAAACAATGTTGAATTTTTTTGGCATTAAGGCCTTTCAAATTGTGCAGAAGCAGAAGATTGCATAAAAACAAGGAATTATGGCTTTCTCTTTGATAAAAACAAGTACATAACAAGGAGCAACTAGTCATGATTCAATTTATCAGAAGCTTCCTCTGGCTTTTCATGTACGGAATGTACTATATTAGCAAGATCAAAACATTGAATGAAAAACAAGTAGACAACAAGCCTTAAGCTTAGCAAATAAAAGAAAATGACTACACCAAATATGTAAATGATCTATAACAAGAGGGATTAGACAGTTCAACAGAATGTGCTTAATTTGAAAATGATCTATAACAAGAGGGATTAGACAGTTCAACAGAATGTGCTTAATTTGATGCAGACAGTTATAACTCGACACATTCTTTGAAGAGTTTCCAGCTTGCATTAGCCAAAGCTAGTTTTTCTTTTGATTTATACCAATCAGAATTTGCTTTCTTGACATCTTCCTCCATCTTCTCTTGTGTTTTCAAATTCTCGGATACCATTTTACTAGTGTTTTCCAATTCATGTTCAGCAGACTTCTTATCCTCTTGAAGCTGCTCTTTCTTGTCATTCAACTGCTGAATTTCAATTTCTAGTTTCTCCACTTGTTCTGAAAGACTGCAAACCTTATCCTTTAAAGAATTTATCTCTTCTTGTTTTTGAACTAGACTTGAATTCAACATTCTAGACTTCTCCAAAAGAGATGTTCTTTGGGCTTGAGTTGTTTCTGCTTCAGTCTTAGCCACAGGAACAATCTCTTTGAACTCTACTAAACGAGAAATAACATTTTCTAGACTTGCCTTCGCAGATAAATTTGGAACATTATGCATAAGGTTACTCGCAACTTTTTCAATGACATCAAAGGCATTAGCTTGATGAATGGATTCTAATGACATGTTGAAGTATTCTCTTAATGCTTCTTTCTGTTCTTGCAAAGACAAAGTGCCACTGGGCAGAGGAGTTGCTTCTACTTCTTCTTCAACTTTTTCAGTCTTAACAAACCGATTTGGTACCAATATCTCTTGCCTTCTCTCAATGGATTGAAGATTCTTATCAGGAGCCAATCCAATTTCCCTTCCAGGTGGTGTTGGTTCCTGTAAATTAAAGTTATAAATTTTATAAATCATTAGTATCTATTATTTTTATGTTCCATGTGGAATCTTTGGATCCCCTTTTCTTCCTTTTATCTTTTTGAGAAAAACTCTAAGAATAAATTTACGGTCACTTGTCAGAATAAAGTCCATACCTTTTCTATTTTCTTTTGGGAAAAGTTTTCTTTCTGTGGATTAATATCTGGCTTGGAGGATTTTTCAGAGTCTTGCACTTCTATTTGAGGAACTTTAGTCGGATTGGCCTTTAGAGGGAGAACTCCATAATCTATTTCCTGACAATCGAACACAAAATTATATCAGTAAAAAACATATCTAATTACATTAATTTCTAAAAGACTAATACCAAAATAATTTCATTGAAATGCACTTGCTGAATTAGAAATATTAATAACGAAAAACCAATCAAATTGCTTACCAAAACGTTGAGTCTTCTATGCTCACGCAGCAACAAATTGTCAGTATCAGAAATAGTTATGGTAAATTCATCTATAAGAACCTTCATTCCAACTTTTCCTAGGAAACCACAATCAAGTAGTAATTTCCTAATTCTCATTACATTATCATCATTCATCTCCTCGAAGAAACATATAATGTCCAAAAATAATTTCTTATCCCTGTTTGTTTGTCCGTCGATATTTATGTGAAGCACATTCATCATATTTTCATTCAGATTGCCAACCGATATGATTATTCTACTTCCAGGACCAAACCAATCTTGCTTTCTAGCAAAAAATACCAATTGCTCTAGTTTATCCACTTCATGAACAATTACATGTACTTGTTTATTGTTTTGCAATTTTTTCCTTCTGAGATTGCTTTCTCTTGTACTATCCCATATCTTTCTATCCCATTGCAGACTGCAAAATTTTATAGTGCCAATTTCTTCGCATTCTTCATAAAACTTGAGTTTCATTTCCTCTAATTTAGAATTCTTCATAAAACTTGAGTTTCATTTCCTCTAATTTAGACTTCAATTGGTGTAGTTGCTTGTCAACACTTGGGCCAGCCTTTTTCAGTTTATATAGTATCTTTTTTCCAATTACTCTAATGAGCTTTGACTCGGACCTGCAAAGGAGACAGAAAACAATTACATACTCAGGAAGCAATAGAAAAAAAATCATAGAAATAAGTTGTTGGTATTACATTGAAAGGGTAGAGGTGAATTGGATTACAACCCGTGAAATGAAAATTCTATAATGTAAGACTTCCCAACACCCAATATTGGTCTACTCCTAATACCTTATTAATCAAAAACAACTTTTTGATTAAAATGAGGGTATTTTTTAGTCTGCACGGACAAAAAAAAAAAAAAAAAAAGAGAAAAAAAAAGGTGGAAACACTTTTCCTCCTCAGGAAAGAGCACATTACATATCATTTGGCTTGTCCCATCCACTTATACCACAAACTGTTTTAAGAGCATTTCTCCACTTATCAACTCTTCGCTTCTTGAAATTCTTGTCATGATCTCTAAAGATTTTCTTGTAAGGACCAGTTTGTTCAGCGACATGGTATGGTCTTACATCATAGAAAACTGGAAAAATCATGTGTCCCAGAAGCTTGTTACACTTAACAATCTTTACAAGCTCATCCAAGCACCATTTTGATGCAGCATAATTCTTTACACTTAACAATCTTTACAAGCTCATCCAAGCACCATTTTGATGCAGCATAATTCTTGGAGAAGACGATGATCGATGTTCTAGATCTTTCGATTGCTCGAAGAAGTGTTTTGGTGATGCAACATCCTTTTTCTAGGTTTTTGTCATCTCTGTATGCCTTAATGCGCCTCTCAACTAGACCTGCGTATAGATGGTCAGTGAAGTTGTAGCGGGTGTCCTGACCTCTAAAGCTGAGAAAGACCTCGTACCGCCATGTCGGTGTAGGAGGTGGAGTAGAATGTGGTGGAGGATGCGGGTAAGAGAGAGGGAGTTCTTCTATGCCTCCCACCTCCATAGCCATTGAAGGTATTGTCTTTGATTAGTATAATACTGTACTACCTTAATAATTAAAAAGATAAATCAAAATTCGCTTTTATATATATATATTATTTGGTAATATATACATTTGATATTGGGATGTATTGGATTGGATTATTGGAAGATGGGGTATTAGATTTGGACTTGCTAGCCAAGAGTAGGTAAACATCATAAGTTCTTCGACCAACGTGATAATAATGACGCACATCTAATCTAAAATATCTAAAAGACAAGCAAATAGAGATCAAGTGACTTGATTTAGCCGGAAGCAGAGTGTCTATATCACTACCTAAATTTATTGTTTTACCTAACTTTTCTTTCAAATCTTATATCTAGAAGGATAGGATACGAGAGTACTCGTAAAAAAAATTAAAAAATTTACCTAACTTTTCTTTAAAAATTAATTATTTTATAACCTAAATATCCTAGTACTAAATCTAAATTGATAAGGTTTTAATTTCATTAGCAAATACTGGATCAACATTTAACATCAAGATCGCATTCATGTGTAACCACAAGCTTAATTAATTACGTTGGAAATTAACTGCATAAATGGCAAATAGCTATTTCGACTTATTAGTTATGCTATGTATAGGCTTGGTGTGAAAAAATTAATCCAAAAAAAATCCTATCCATTTACTCCCGATTTTACGACTTTAATTACATATTAAATCATTTTGCATATGAAAATTAAAATTTTTTAAAATTTTCATTTTTAATAAAAAAAGTATGTAATATTATTAAAATTAGTAAATTAATATACACAATGGATCATCTACAAAACTCAGACGCCACAAGATCAATGTTGTAGTAATTTATCGATGAATTTATGTATTCTGTTTATTTATTATTATTATTATTATTGTATTTATTTCCTAACAACTGTTAAATGTAGCATCGGATATTGTGCTTAACATTAATGCACCTTGACTTAGCGAAAGCCATTTCATTGATTAGCCATCTGAACCGAAGAACCTTCACGTACATGACAGGACCATACACTGAAGAAAATAATTTAAGCTTGAAATGAAAAACAAATGATATATGTTAAATATTATCAACCTCAAAATTATTTCTAGTCTTTTTTTTTTTAATAGAACTAGGAAATATAATCATGTTCAAATTCAGTGTACTTTTTAGAGATCGAATTTTTAATTTTATTTTCACAGAAATTAAATTCGCTTCAACGAGATAAGATCGATTACCAAAATTGAGGTCGCATATCTCTCCAATCAATGTCTTGTCGGTAATTTCTAGTGAATAGCTGAATGCGAAAAAGACTGGGAACTAACTCGCATGCAGATGAAACCAAGCCACCAAGTTTTACCAAGATAAAAACCAATATTGAGATCGTATATCCCTCCGATCAATGTCTTATCAGTAATTTTTAGTGAATAGCTGAATGCGAAAAAGATTGGGAACCAACTCGCATGCAGATGAAACCAAGCCACCAAGTTTTACTAGGACAAAAACCAAAATTGAGGTCGTAAATCTCTCCAATCAATGTCTTGTCGGTAATTTTTAATGAATAGGTGAATGCGAAAAAGACTGGGAACCAACTCACATGCAGATGAAACCAAGCCACCAAGTTTTACTAGGACTTTTGTCTAGATCATAAAAGAAGAATAAAAGAATACTCAGTTTTTTTTATTATTTTCTAAATTGACTTGGAATAACTATATCTGTTACTACTAAATTTTACTTTGGTCTTTAATATTATTATTTTTTAATTTATTGGACAAAATGTTAAGAAAGACATTAAAAATTGAATTGAAATCCCCTGAGGACGGTCTTCATAAACACTCCATAGGAAACATTTTACCCCCTTTATAGGCATGTCCAACGTGAATCCGAATTAATCGAATCAGTGAATTTTAGATGCTGAATGATTAAAATAAAAAAATTAAATTGGAGTCCATATACAAGGACATAATATATTCCATAAATATCAATAACCATGTGAGAATAAATTATATTTTTTTTTACTATTATTATTTTCATCTCATCGGAGAAATAAAAGGATCATTGTAAACTAGGCGTAATTAAATTGATTGTAAAGAGCGAGAGATCTTGAGTTTGATTCTACTCAATCACAAGAATATTCATCAATTAATTTAGTGAGCTAAGGGAAAGACCCTGTTCGTATTTTATAGTCTATCATGTTATTTTGATTCATTGAACCTGTCAATAAAAATAAAAAAACATAAAAATCAGAAAATGATTTATCAGTAACTATATAAAGTCTGAAATATAATATAAATACAAATCAAATAGCATCCAATTGTAATTAGGGCTACTATCAAAGCTTTACCCCAATTGTAATTAGGGCTACTATCAAAGCTTTACCAAACACCTCAAGCCTAACGGTTGGATGCAAATCAGCTATCATATATCAGCTCTCAGCTCCTTAGAGTCCGTTTAGTAAGTCACATGCATACTTTAAACAAATGTACAGGGAGTATGGAGATACTATCTAGAAAAGCGAATGAGTGAAATCATATGAAAAAGGCAGGTATATTTGATATAATAAATTCTGATATACAACGTAATATGGTTGAAAAAAGTCATTTACTTCCAATGTCTTAAATCTTTATTCTTTCAATCTTTCTCCTTCTTCTCAGATGAATTTTTTGAAAATTTCAGCCATTTTGCTTGTTCTTCTCTGATGTAGTGACATTTTGAGTGAATTCTGTAAGCCCCTGTCTCAATGCTCCAAGATTGACCCCCTTACCAACTAGAATGCTCGTTACTCCCATTTTTGAAACCTGACATTCCAATTAGAAATAAACCTGACATTCCAATTAGAAATACTTAAACAAGTAAACTCACTCCCCAAAATAAATAAAAATTCTTAGCAGCTCACAGTAAATTTACGATATCTAAAGGTTAAACTCCTCATGGAACTTTCTACTCACCAAGTAGATAGCAGGACAAAAGAAATTCAATGAAAAGGAACAGAGTAAAGGCTATTTTTACCGCTTGGATGTTTCTGTCCTCATCATCAAAAAACAAAATCGATTTATAGGGTACACCAGTCCTTGAATGAATCCTCTGGAAATGTTCAGTCTTGTGAGTCCAACTGGAAAATATCTCCTGAATAATTAAAATGTGTAAGTCACTGTTGCAGCCACACAAAGGGGCAATTCAAAACCTGTTGCTTGTCATTAAAGCAAGTTCAGCCTATAACAGAGCTTGGTTCACCTAGGAATGAAGCCAATCGTGACCATGACTCAAAATCAATCCAAAAAATATGAGAGATCACCAACTTAACAGGATTTGGAGGTCCATTGCTTCAGAAGAGGAAATTACAATGATTGTCAATGAAGTTTGCTTATTCTATATATAGTTTGAACTTTGAACAAGCAGACGCTAGTAATCTCAAGTGATTCCAACATTTTGAAACATTAGTGCTGTTACTTGGCATGTTATGCTTATATGAATATCTAATGCACTGCCACCCAAAGAATTCACACATTTTTCTGAGCGGGACACGAAGAGAAAGAAGGAGAGTAATTCAGGGATACATTAGTTTACAAACCTTCCAGTAGATTGCCACATCTGTTCTCTCGTTATCTCTGCTGGTCATGCTCAAAAAAGTAAAAAAGCATATGACAACTTTTGGCATTTCATATGCAACAAAGTGTGGACGACAAAAATAACACAATAGAATATTTCTAGGAAGAGAAGCAAGCAAAAATTAAGAATGAGAAACTTTCATGAAGCAATAGCCACATCAATTCCCTTCTCTTTGAGTGCATATAATACATCAATTCCCTTCTCTTTGAGTGCATATAATATGCCTTTAGCATGGGGATACAGAGATGGCATTTCACGTTTTGAGCGACATTCACTGTGAAGTTACAGGATCCAAATTGACATTAGATCTCTAAAATTAAATATGCCTTTATGGACGGAGCAGAATATCGTTATGATGACAATCAAATCAAGCTTCAGAATTTTGTGAATGCCTTCAACTAATTGATATTGATGCTCCATTTTAAACGACAAGTGTTCTGATTGTCGTCGTTGGAGCACCCATGTGTTGGTTTTAACTTGTTAACGTTTCTTACAAGTTGGAAGATGCTGATTTTCATTCTTTTGGTTCAATTTTGCCGTAAAAATTATCAGTTGCATTATGGATACTTACAAAATAGCTAGAGACTAGTAATTGCTGCCTAGTTGCAGGTGATGAGCAAGAAATACTGCTTAGACCACTGGGCTAGCTACTAATCAAATTGCTACTTTCTTTTCTTACATGCTTATAGATTTACAATTTTGAATTGTGCAATTCTAGATTATTTTAAAGAATTATCAATTCAATTGCTATATGGAAAATATACAAAATCTAGATTAAAATTAAAGAATTATCAATTCAATTGCTATATGGAAAATATACAAAATCTAGATTAAAAAAAAAAAGAAGAAGAAAATTTGATACCCATAAACTAGTAATTCTTGCCTAATGGTATGTCCTAAATGAAGAGAAGCAAATGATGAGCAAGATCTGTTTACTAGAGACTTAAGCAAAGCCTTCGCTAATCCTTTATCTAAACCATTTCCTAGGATTGAGAGTATGTACTCTATCAAGAGTGAATCACATGCAATTCTAATAGGGCCTTCACTTGGTAGTCCAAATTCTTCTTCTGAAAGCCTAAAGAGCTCTTGGAAAATGTAAGTGTTGAGATATGTCAAAGGTATCACAAATCGCTTCCAGTCACTAGAGTAGACAACAAAATGGCCTTTCCTAGCCACAGATGATGCCTTGGAATTGGATTTAGTCTCATTCCAATTGGGTTTTGGGAATGAAATTTTTCTCCTCCTAATTTCAGCTACGCTCTGCCACTTCCTGGCTATTTTCTTGAGTCTTTTGGTGCTGATCATGGTCAGTTCTTATTTTTACTCTAGAAGAAGATGAGGGTTTGAGAGAAATGCTTAGACAAGTCCATCAATGGAAGTGGGTTGTGCGCTCTTATGTATCTTGAGAAATTTCATTTTCTTTTTAACATTTTCTATGCAAAAGCATTGAATTAGCTGGTTTTGTGCAAAGAGTTGGTTTTTAACATTTTTATTAGTAATCATACATACCAAAGTCTCTCGGGTTAATTTCAAATTAGTTAACAAAACAATGCAGTTGAAGACTGTTACATAAACAACAGAATAGCACTAGTCATTTTTGCAAGGCTAGTGCTATGAATGAACGGCCAATAAAATTTCTGAGGATGAAGTTATGGGCTAAGGGGTTAGTCACTTTGTTTGAAGTTGGCGGCGCTTTTAGATTTTATAACTGTATTAGTATTTTAAAACAATTTATTTGATATTAACTGTGAAACTATAACTTGTTAAATATATGTTAAATGTGAAACTATAACTCATTTCGTGGTTTGTATACAAAATAAAAATTATTCTTTATTCTTTCAATTAATTTTTGTAGATTATTTGTCACTGCGAATTACTTTTTGTATTACACTGAAACCACCAATTGAGTTAGAGTTCTAATGCAACATTATCTCTCTGGCATAACAAATATTAAATTTCTAAATAGCTTTCATTCAGTATTGCACTTGTAAATAGTTTTTGTAAGAGTATTATTTTTGTCCAAATCCTTTTATTAGGTATTTCAATAATGATAGAAAATATAAATTCCGAAAGAAATGGAAACAAATTACAAGAATATATTCATGTAAGAATTAAATGGCTGATTTCACCAAGCTATAAATATATCATCTGATCCATAATACTTATAACATTTGAAATTTTACGTTTTTTAGGAAAATCAATAAATTTATCTAAATTACAATAAATTCTTGAGTAAATTGACTATATTACCCTTAATTTAATATAAATTCTCTAAGAAAACGATTAAATTGAAATAATAATTATTAGTTATATACAAAGGGTAAACATGAAAAAAAAAAGTTTTATTACTCCTTAAAAACACACATGTGACAAGTATTTTGAAACAGACTATATTCTTAAATGTGACAAGTATAATCAAATAGAGGTCGTAGTAATTTATCCTATTACAAATATTATTGTTAAATACATTATGTAAACGTGAGATGTATCTTTAAAATCGTTCAAAAAGAAAAATTAAGTTGGTCTAAATGCAAATAACTATAAGAGAAAAAGACCAGTGGTTGTTCAGATTTCTAAAATCTTGATCAATGTGCTGCATCTAATTTTAAAAGAAGAGAAGCATTAGGTATAAATTTTCGAGAATAATAAATTTTCTGAAACTGTACATGTTAAACTAAAGATCTTCAAAATTTATAGGGATACATTTTTATTATAGAAAATTAATTCTTAAAACACTTAATATAAAATAATGAATCATCACACGTTTCTCATCTCTTTGAGCAGACAACAAAATGACCTCTACTAGCCATAACAATGCCTTGGAACTGTTCCTCTTGCAATTGGTTTTTGTAAGCGAAATCTATGCCTTCTACTGCCTGCTATGTGCAGCCACTTGCTTGCAATTTTGTTCAGTCTTCTTGTGCTTATCATGCTTTTTAATTTTAACCCAGAAAAAGATGGCAGGATAAGAAGAAATGCTTATAGTCCAGTGGAAGGCTACAGATTATATATCTTAATTAATCATCTTGGTGTTGAGATTTTCTACGGAAAAACATCATGTATATTAATTAATTAGCTTTCAATTGTTAGTTGTTGTATCACTTCTTATCAATTTTGTTAGCAGGTCATAGATCCCTGAGTCTAGTATTTAACTTGTTGGTGTATCTGTTCTGCAGAAAAGAACAAAAGCATGCAGTTGATGAACCGGTACTTCTGTATCCACAAACATAAATTGTTTTAGGATAGTTGTTTTGTCTACAAATATAATATCTAAGACTAATTAATAAGATTTATCCTTATTTGTATTAAATAAAATAACTATCTCTATAATTTTCTAAAGTGTAATTTAATCAAATTATTGAACATTTTGTTATAAATAAAGAGAATTAATTGCTTTCTTAATCACTGTGCAACAACCGACCTTCTAAAGTGTAATTTAATCAAATTATTGAACATTTTGTTATAAATAAAGAGAATTAATTGCTTTCTTAATCACTGTGCAACAACCGACCTATATTTGTGGATAGAGGAATTGTTACATATAACCAACAATATCACATCATTTTTCGAAGCTAGCACTTCAGGTGATGGAAACTAAGTAAATAAACATGAATCTAAAAGATTCACAAACATAATACAAACGTAAATCTAGTTAAATATGTTACAGCAGCATTGAAATGAATGTGTATTTTATTGCCATATGTACTAGATATAGTAAGATTTAATGTCCTTCTAAAACAATGTTACAATGCAACGCATGAAAGAACCAAAAAAGAATCTAACAAAGTTAGGTTGTTTTTGATTCAGCAGAAGATTCACCTTGGATGAAAACAAGAAAGCATATAAAAAGATGCAAACAGTTCCAACATATGAAGAATTAATGAGTTCTCAAAAAATTTACATTTGAGATCATTTTAAGAAATAATGAAACTAGTGAGAGCCCATTGAAGATGTTGCATTTTGAGATCATTTTAAGAAATAATGAAACTAGTGAGAGCCCATTGAAGATGTTGCATTCATTTCAATTTTAACCAAATTTGTAGAATTGCAATTAATTTTTGAAGGTTGGAGTTAAAAAAAAAAAGTCTATTTTTGAAGGTTTGGATATAATTATAATTTTTCAAACAATGTTGATTTTTTTTGGCACTAAGGCATTTCATATTGTGCAGAAGCAGAAGATTGCATAAAAACAAGGAATTATAGCTTTCTCTTTGATAAAAACAAGTACATAACAAGGAGCAAGCCAACTGGTCATGATTCAATTTGTCAGAAGCTTCCTCTGGCTTTTCATGTACAGAATGTACTATATTAGCAAGATCAAAACATTGAATGAAAAACAAGTAGACAACAAGCCTTAACCTTAGCAAATAAAAGAAAATTACTACACCAAATATGTAAATGATCTATAACAAGAGGGATTAGACAGTTCAACAGAATGTGCTTAATTTGACGCAGATAGTTATAACTCGACACATTCTTTGAAGAGTTTCCAGCTTGCATTAGCCAAAGCTAGTTTTTCTTTTGATTTATACCAATCATAATTTGCTTTCTTGACATCTTCTTCCATCTTCTTTTGTCTTGCCAAATTCTTGGATACCATTTTACTAGTGTTTTCCAATTCAAGTTCAGCAGACTTCTTATGCGCTAGAAGCTGCTGTTTCTTGGCATTCAACTGCTGAATTTCAAGTTCCAGTTTCTCCATTTTTTCTGAAAGACTGCAAACCTTAACCTCTAAAGAATTTATCTTTTCTTGTTTTTGAACTAGACTTGAATCAAACATTTTAGACTTCTTCAAAAGAGATGTTCTTTGGGCTTGAGTTGTTTCTGCTTCAGTCATAGCCACAGGAACATTCTCTTTGAACTCTACTAAACGAGAAATAACATTTTCTAGACTTGCCTTCTCATATAAATTTGGAACATTATGCATAAGGTTACTCGCAACTTTTTCAATGACATCAAAGGCATTAGCTTGATGAATGGATTCTAATGACATGTTGAAGTATTCTTTTAATGCTTGTTTCTGTTCTTGCAAAGACAAAGTGCCATTGGGCAGAGGAGTTGCTTCTACCTCTTCTTCTTCTTCTTCAACTTTTTCAGTCTTATCAAAGCCATTTGGTACCAATATCTCTTGCCTTCTCTCATGAAGAATCTTATCAGGAGCCAATCCAATTTCCTCTTCAGATGGTGTTGGTTCCTGTAAATTAAATTTATAAATTTTATAAATCATTAGTATCTATTATTTTTATGTTCCATGTGGAATCTTTGGATCCCCTTTTCTTCCTTTTTTCTTTTTGAGAAAATCTCTAAGAATAAATTTACAGTCACTTGTCAGAATAAAGTCCATACCTTTTCTATTTTCTGTTGGGAAAAGTTTTCTTTCTGTGGAGTAGTTTCCGGCTTGGAGGATTTTTCAGAGTATTGCACTTCTATTTGAGGGTTGGAGAGACGAATTACTTGGTGGTGACCATTTGATAGTGGCTTCAAAATCTTTGTGTCAACTTTAGTCGGATTGGCCTTTAGAGGGAGAACTCCATAATCTGTTTCCTGACAATCAAACACAAAATTATATCAGTAAAAAACATATCTAATTACATTAATTTCTAAATGACTAAAACCAAAATAATTTCATTGAAATGCACTTGCTGAATTAGAAATATTAATAACAAAAAACCAAATCAAATTGCTTACCGAAAGGTCGAGTCTTCTATGCTCATGCAGCAACAAATTGTCAGTATCAGAAATAGTTATGGTAAATTCATCTATAAGAACCTTCATTCCAACATTTCCTAGGAAACCACAATCAAATGGTAATTTTCTATTTCTCATTACATTATCATCATTCATCTCCTCGAAGAAACATATAATATCCAAAAATAAGTTCTTATCCCTGTTTGTCTGTCCATCGAAATTTATGTGATATACCTTCATCATATTTTTATTCAGATTGCCAACCGATATGATTATTCTACTTCCAGGACCAAACCAATCTTGCTTTCTAGCAAAAAATACCAATTGCTCTAGTTTATCCACTTCATGAACAATTACATGTACTTGTTTATTGTTTTGCAATTTTTTCCTTCTAAGATTGATTTCTCTTGTACTATCCCATATCTTTCTATCCCATTGCAGACTGCAAAATTTTATAGTGCCAATATCTTCGCATTCTTCATAAAACTTGAGTTTCTATCTTTCTATCCCATTGCAGACTGCAAAATTTTATAGTGCCAATATCTTCGCATTCTTCATAAAACTTGAGTTTCATTTCCTCTAATTTAGAATTCAATTGGTGTAGTTGCTTGTCAACACTTGGGGCAGCCTTTTTCAGTTTACGTAGTATCTTATTTGCAATTATTCTAATTAGCTTTGACTCGGACCTGCAAAGGAGACAGAAAACAATTACATACTCAGGAAGCAATAGAAAAAAAAAATCATAGAAATAAGTTATTGGTATTACATTGGAAGGATAGAGGTGAATTGGATTACAACCCGTGAACTGAAAATTGTATAATGTAAGACTTCCCAACACCCAATATCGGTCTACTCCATATACCTTATTAATCAAAAACAACTTTTTGATTCAAAGGAGGGTATTTTTGACTCTTCACGGACAAAAAAAAAAAAAAAAAAAAAAAAAAAAAAAAAAAAAGAGAGAGAAAAAAAAGGTGGAAACACTTTTCCTCCTCGAGGAAAGAGCACATTACCGATAGTTTGGCTTGTCCCATCCACTTATACCACAAACTGTTTTAAGAGCATTTCTCCACTTATCAACTCTTTGCTTCTTGAAATTATTGTAATGATCTCTAAAGATTTTCTCGTAAGAACCAGTTTGTTCAGCGACATGGTCTGGTCTTACATCATAGAAAACTGGAAAAATCATGTGTCCCAGAAGCTTGTTACACTTAACAATCTTTACAAGCTCATCCAAGCACCATTTTGATGCAGCATAATTCTTGGAGAAGACGATGATCGATGTTCTAGATCTTTCGATTGCTGGAGAAGACGATGATCGATGTTCTAGATCTTTCGATTGCTCGAAGAAGTGTTTTGGTGATGAAACTTCCTCTTCCTAGGTTTTTGTCATCTCTATATGCCTTAATGCGCATCTCAACTAGACCTGTGTATAGATGGTCAGTGAAGTTGTCGCGGGTGTCCTGACCGCTAAAGCTGAGAAACACCTCGTACCGCCATGTCGGTGGAGGAGGTGGAGGAGGTGGAGGAGAAGGTGGTGGAGGATGCGGGTAAGAGAGAGGGAGTTCTTCTATGCCTCCCACCTCCATAGCCATTGAAGATATTGTCTTTGATTAGTATATTATTTTACTAGAGAGAAAAAGGATTGAGCTCGCTATCAGAATTAGCTAGTCTTTTAATTTATATATAGCAGTTTCAGACTCTCAGTGTTCAAGATAACTTAACAAATATTATTATTATTATAATTATTATTATTGTAGTTGTTGTTATTATTATTATTACATTAACGTGATTAGCTCGCTGTCAAATAGTGTGATCTGATTGGTTTTCTCACTTATATGAAGAGTGAGAGATCTCGAGTTCGAATTCTTTCAATCACAAGTGTTCTCATAAATATTTAATTAACATTTGACAATTGGTATTTGGTTGAAATAGTGTATTTTTTATTTTTTATTTTTTATTTATTAGGAGATTCAATATTCGAAATAATGTTATGGGCTATGTAATAAAAATAATATCTCTTGGCTCACTAAATTAGTGAAAACTATTATTATTATCTAAACAATTAAAAAGACAAATCAAAACAAATCTTATTGGCTTTTATATATATATTATTTGGTAATATATACATTTGATATTAGGATATATTGGATTTGAAGATGGGGTATTAGATACGACCTATCAGGCCTCTCAATATGTAAATAAAAACATGATTAGCTGGCTTATGTATAAAAAAAAAGAAAACATGATTAGTTAGCTCATACATAACTAATTGACATTTGATAATCGGTATTTGGTGGAAATAGTGTATTTTTTTATTTTTTATTTTTCATTTATTATGAGATCTAATAGTCGAAATAACATTATGGACTACGTAATAAAAATAATGTCTCTTAACTCACTAAATTAATGAAAACTATTATGACTACCTAAATGATTAAAAAGATAAATCAAAACACATCTGATTGGCTTATATATATATGGCTTATATATATAATATTATATATATATTTATATTATAATAATATATATATATATATATATAGTATTATTTCATAAATATAATACATTAATAATATTATTTCATAATATATACATTTAATACGCTTTTATATATATTATTTGGTAATATATACATTTGATATTAGGATGTATTGGATTGGAAGATGGGGTATTAGATTTGGACTTGCAGTCCAAGAGCAGGTAAACATCGTGAGTTCTTCGACCAACATGATAATAATGATGCACATCTAATCTAAATTATCTAAAAGACCAGCAGATAGAGATCAAGTTGACTTGATTTAGCCAGAAGCAGAGTGTCTATATCACTACCTAAACTCTTTCAAATCGGATAGGATACGAGAGTACTCGTAAAAAAAAAAGGAGTTGACCTATCCCTTCGATCAATGCGTTGTCGGTAATTTCCAGTGAATTGCTGAATGTGAAAGAGAAGAAAGATACAAAATTGTCCTGGGAACCAACTGACGTGCAGATGAAACCAAGCCACCAACTTTTACCAGGACTTTTGTCTGGATCAGAAATGAAGAATAAAAAAAGACTCAGTTTTTTTTATTCTTTTCTAAATTGACTTGGAATAACCATACGGCTAGTACTAAATTTTATTTTTGTCTTTATTATGATTATTATTTTTTTAATTTATTGGACAAAATGTTAAGAAACGCATTAAAAATTGAATTGAAATCTCCCGAGAAGTGAAATGGGACGACGGTCTCTGTAAACTCCCAGTGGGAAATATATTTTACCTCTTTTGTCCCGGGAACCAACTCACATGCAGATGAAACCAAGCCACCAAGTTTTACCAGTCTTTTTTTATTCTTTTCTAAATTGACTTGGAATAGCCATATCGGCTAGTACTAAATTTTATTTTTGTCTTTAATATTATTATTTTTTTAATTTACTGGACAAAATGTTAAGAAACGCATTAAAAATTGAATTGAAATCTCCGGGCAAAATGGGATGACAGTCTTTGTAAACACTTAGTAGGAAACATTTTGCCTCTTTTATAGGCTTACCCAATGTAAATTCGAATTAATTAATCGAGTCAGTAAACTTCGGATACCGAATAATTAAAATAAAAAAAATTAAATTGGAGTCCATATACAAGGACATAATATATTCCATAAATATCAAGAACCATATGGTAATAAATTATATTTTTATTTTACAATTATTACTTTCATCTCATTTGAGAAATAAAAGAATCATCATAAACTAGGTGTAACTAGATTGAAACTAGGTGTAACCAGATTGATTGTGAAGAGTGAGAAGTCTTGAATTCGACTCTACTCGACCACAAAAATTTTCATCAATTTGATGAGCTGAGAAAAAATCCTTAACCCTATTTTATAATCTATCATGTTATTTTGATCCATTCACCTCTCAAAGAATAAAAAATAAATAAAACAGAAAATGATTTATCAGTAATTATATAAAGTCTGAAATATAATATAAATACAAAACAAATAGCATCCAATTGTAATTGGGGGCTACTATCAAAGCTTTACCCAACACCTCAAGCCTAGCGGTTGGATGCAAATCAGCTATCAGATATAAGCTCTCAGCCCCCTAGAGTCCGTTTAGTAAGTCATATGAAGTGTAATCAAATGCATACTGTAAACAAATGTATAGGGAGTATGGGGATACTATCTGGAAAAGAGAATGAGTGATATCAGATGAAAAAAGCAGGTATATTTGGTACAATAAATTCTGATATACAACGTAATATGGTTGAAAAAAGTCCTATACTTCCAATGTCTTAAATCTTTATTCTTTCAATCTTTCTCTTTCTTCTCAGATGAATTTTTTGAAAATTTCAGCCATTTTTGCTTGTTCTTCTCTGATGTAGTGACATTTTGAGTGAATTCTGTAAGCCCCTGTCTCAATGCTCCAAGATTCATTTGAGTGAATTTTGAGTGAATTCTGTAAGCCCCTGTCTCAATGCTCCAAGATTGACCCCCTTACCAACTAGAATGCTCGTTACTCCCATTTTTGAAACCTGACATTCCAATTAGAAATACTTAAACAAGTAAACTCACTTCCCAAAACAAATAAAAATTCTTAGCATCTCACAGTAAATTTACGATATCTAAAGGTTAAACTCCTCAGGGAACTTTCTACTCATCAAGTAGATAGCAAAATACAAGAAATTCAATGAAAAGGAGCACAGAAAAGGCTATTTTTACCGTTTGGATGTTTCTGTCCTCATCATCAAAAAACAGCATTGAGTTGTAGGGTACACCAGTCCTTGAATGAATCCTCTGGAAATGTTCGGTCTTGTGAGTCCAACTGGAAAATATCTCCTGAATAATTAATGTGTCAGTCACTGTTGCAGCCACACAAAGGGGCAATTCAAAACCTGTTGCTTCTCATTAAAGCAAGTTCAGCCTATACCAAGGCTTGGTTCACCTAGGAATGAAGCCAATCATTACCATGACTCAAAATCAATCCAAAAAATTTGAATAGGTTCTTGAGATCACCAACTTAACAGGATTTGGAGGTCCATTGCTTCAGAAGAGGAAATTACAATGATTGTCAATCAAGTTTCCTTATCTTAAATATAGTTTGAACTTTGAACAAGCAGACGCTAGTAATCTCAAGTGATTCTAACATATTGAAACATTGATTGTCAATCAAGTTTCCTTATCTTAAATATAGTTTGAACTTTGAACAAGCAGACGCTAGTAATCTCAAGTGATTCTAACATATTGAAACATTAGTGCTGTTACTTGGCATGTTATGCTATGCTTATATGAATATCTGATGCACTGCCACCCAAAGAATTCACACATTTCTGAGACACAAAGAGAAAGAAGGCAAGTAATTCAGGATACATTAGTTTACAACCTCCAGTTAGATGCCACATCTTTCTTGTTATCTCTGCTGGTATGCTCAAAAAAGTTAAAAAGCATATGACAACTTTTGGCATTTCATATGCAACAAAGAGTGGACACAAAAATAACACAATAGAATATTAGTAGGAAGACACAAGCAAAAATTAAGAATGAGAAACTTTCATGTTATTCACCTGAGCTGCAAACATCGATTTTATGCTCAACTTTTCAAGAAATGTCTTTGCAATATCCGGGGTTGGTGATCGTGAAGCAATAGCTACATCAATTCCCTTCTCTTTGAGTGCATATAATATGCCTTTAGCATGGGGATACAGAGATGGCATTTCACGTTTTGAGCGACATTCACTGTGAAGTTACAGGATCCAAATTGACATTAGATCTCTAAAATTAAATACGCATTTATGGACGGAGCAGAATATCATTATGATGGCAATCAAATCAAGCTTCAGATATATTTTTGATTGGGGAAAAACGATGCATGGCTCGACAATTAATCAATGACAATGCTATAAGATAATATATTTTTATATGCACGACATGCATGCACATCTTATATATATCCACATACATAGGCAGTTGATTTGCTTTAGTTAAGTGAATCAAAATCAATTAGTACTAATTAAAAGCAGCTGAGAATAAAACCTTTCCAACATGCAAAAGAAAGCACAAAGCAAAGGTCAAGGAAGCAGAAAAAAAAGAAAAAAAAGGAAAACCACGTATTCCTTTTGAAAAGCACACAAGACTGCAGTGTTTTAAAGCTTGATACTTGATGATTGAAACAAGCCAAACTATGAATTTCTGATAATCCAGTCATACGTATGCTAGGACTTTGTATGTCATTTATCCAATATATTCAATTTGAAAAGGAGGGAAGGAATTTTCACATTAATTGAATTTCTTTATAGGCCAATACTCTCAATCCTATTGACATGCAGCCTTAGTAGGGAGACTTCTAACAACTTAACATTTCTGCATTTTGTTACTCATCAAACTTGAATCTACAAACAAAACAACTAGATACTATCCCAGCATAAGGCAACATAAAGTAATCAAGAACCAAAGCCTTGGGAAATCAACAATCAGTTAATTCGGAAATTCAAAATCCAGAACTTGAAAATTTACATCGACACAAAGTCATGCTTTATTTAAGCTAAACAGCAGCAAGGAGACCAAAAAACTTCATATCCCTAAACCCCAATCTATTTGTCATTTTGCTTCCTGTTCCATGAGATTGAAACCAAACCAATATTTGCATTTCAGAAAGTTATGATATGTAAGCTATCAAGGGTTATTGCTAATTGAACAACTACAAATTACCCATAATCGAGTAGGATAAGATGAGATTCACCAAACCTATATTTGGCAAAACAAACAACCAACGTTTCAATGAACCACGTAAACAGAACCCACTACACAGAAACCAAAATATAAATATTCCCAATTCAAATTTCAATTATTAAGAAGCCTTTAGCACGTTAGAATGGTGCAAGTTGTAGTATCTGATTATTCAACTTTACTTTATAGAAGTAATTTGTGAAAAACACAAACTTGGCAGTGAGAGAGTACCAATAAAAAGGCCAGAGGGTGTAATCGAGATCGAAGACGACCAATCTGGGTAAGATTTGAAACATTCCTATTACCTGCAAGGCTTCGCTTTTCACCTTCTCCTCTCCCATGGCCATTTTCAGCTTTGATTGGCTTGTGTACGTCGGACGAAATGCAAGATTTTTTCAGCATCTCTCATTCGGGTTTATACTCTAATGATAAGCAAAACGACACGCCAATCTCACCTTTGATTGCCATGAATTTTTTATATTTTTTAATTCGAAATGAATTATATTTTAATATTAAAATATTATATATTCAATTATTATGAAAAATGATGATTTTATAATTAATAATCTAATAATTAATGTTTAAATATTTAATATTATAGATAATTCACGTTAGTTTAGACAAATTAAGATTAAGAGGCTATTTGTTTCGCAGCTTATTGAACATCTAACTTATTCAAATGATAAGAAATACTATACATTTATTTATCTATGCTAAATTAATAAATTACATATATAAATTTGCAAATCAAATTTTGTTCATTTATTTTTAGACCTGGTTCAATACAATAGATAATAAAAAAATAAAATTGTCCATACAATTATAAAATTACATTATACATCACTTATTAAATCATTCGGCTATCAATTCTTAATATCATTCAACTCAATAAAATAATGAAATTCATTTCAAATAAACATCATCTTCAAGAGTCATTATCTATCTTAAGAACAAATTTGCAATTACTTGTTTGATTAATGTACTATTATTAACGAGTAACAAAACATGAATTGATATAATTTAACTATGATATTAGTCATAATTTAGAAAATTAAAAAAATTTGGTAATATCATAATTTTGTAACTTAAAATTTTAAATATTTCAGAATGTCAATGTGTATTCTTTTTTTTTTTTTTTTTAAATTTCAATGTGTATTTCTTTTTTTTTTTTTTTTAAATTGTAGCAATGTTTTTTTTTTTTTTTTTTTTTTAAATTGTAGCCAATGTTTAACAAAATTGTAAAAATGAGATATTCTATTTTAATTTTTATGAATAAACAGCAATTGCAATCTGAAAAATAATATGATAAATCTTCAAAATTATATCTAAAAATGCCATCAAAATTTTTTTTTGTTGGATACAAGGGAGGGAGAGAGCCCCAAAAAAATGCCATCAAAATTTGAATTCTTCACTATACTTTTCCTTCTAAAAAATATTAAAAAAAATTAAAAATGAATAAAAAGATCAAGCAACCTAATTGTGTCAATCCAGGGATTGATCAGAACCTCGAAGGAAAATCATCAAAACAGTTCAAAAGGCAGATCATTCAAAAGGTTGACATTTCATTTTGCAAAAAGAATTCTTCAGTATCTCTGGGGTCATTTCCCCACTACAAAAAAACAAGCAACTTGTTTCCTCGCTTTTTCTATATCTTTCTATTCTATTTGCCGATCTATAAGCTAAATATTGTTCCTTTTCATAATATATACTTGGAAAATATTTGCTATTTACAGCAAGTTCCTTGTAGGCTCCTTACTAAGTTACCTTCCACTTTCTTGAGATGTCAGCTTTGAACTTTTCACAGCCAGTTCATCTGATTCTGCCACTAAATCTTTCTTGTCCATTGGCGCACTACTTTTTCTGACAATGTTTTTCCTTGACTCAAACTCTCCATCGGATTGGGCAGGATCATTTCCATTTTCCTCTTGGGAGTCATCAACAATATAAGTGGCAAGGTCCCCAGTTGCAGTTGAAGAAGATTCTTGTCTCTCAGTTTCAGTTGGATGACCAAAGCCCTCAAATTCTGGATGGGAAGGATCCTCATCTACCCCTATTTCCCAAGATTTCCTGGACCCACTGGTAGAGATTTCAGAACTTGAGGCATCATCAAAAAGTTCTTCAGCCTGCTGCAAATAACTCTGTGTCCAGGACGTTCTCAAGGATCTAAGATCTTCACCAATATATGAAGTTGGAGGTTCAGTCGCTGACTCAACAATATGGCAACAATCTTCTGTATCTGATGATGAATCAGAGATTTGCTCACAAACTTCTTCTGCCTCCTGTTCTCACAACATGCAAAAGTTCAATTAGTTTCGCATTTCAAATAAACCCAGGACAACATTCTACCTCCACTTCTGCCAAAAGGTTCAACCAGAAGGAATGATCATAAACAGTGAGACAATGTTTCATGATTTAAATTATAATTAGATCTCAGGAGAATGCATGCAGGGACAAAAATAAAAATAATGATTTTTTTTTTTTTTTTTTTTTTTTTTTTTACAATAAAATAATGATTTTTTTTTTTTTTTTTTTTTTTTTTTTTGGATTTTTTTTTTTTTTTTTTTTTTTTTTTTGTGGATAAGGAGATGAATGGATCCTGCTATTAACTTCTCTTAGCACTGTGAATCTGATGGGTTACGTCAGCATGCTTTCATTTGCAATACATGATAAGGTGAAGAAAGTTGTGGCTTGCAGTGCTTTGAACAATTGTCCGTTGATCACAATATACAGAGTCGACTAGAAACTTTAGCTGCCTAAAATAAAGTCGTATCGATTAATTTATTCATTTATTTTTTTGTTACAGTTTTAACTTTGGACTACGACTAGGTAAGCTAGTATACAATCGGCCTGCACGGCTAGACTGCAGAGAATGGTGGGATTGTAATGATCCTAGTTGAAAAGTATAGGATCAGGATCCCACATTAAGGAATAGGACTTTGGTGCGGAATTTATACTCAATTGATGCCTCCAACCTCTACAGTCAACGTGTTTTCCCAAGGTTCATATTAAATTACACCTTAATAAAAGACCAAAAAATTGTATACCTTTATTGGTGACATGAAATTTAAGCGAGATGCTCTCATCTGTGAGTAATTTCCGCGGGAAAATTTTCTTGTACTAGTTTCCGGCTCAAATGACTTCCTGGAATCCAATCCTGGTACTTCAACTTGTTGCCACCCCTCTGTCAGCAGAGATTTTGATGGAAGTGAAATCTCAATCCCCAGTTCATTATTAAGGCTTGAAGAATCAACCCTACACATTTCCAGTGAACAGCATCTCTCTGTTAGAAACTCTACCCCAGTTTCTTGCTCACCTGCAATGACAAACTGGGAGTGAGGATGTTTATCAGTGGATTCCACTTGAGAACATTTCTGAGTCTGCTCTTCAAGAATTTCACAAATTAACTTCTGGATATGTGCCCGTTTCAGAGAAGCCTCTGCAGGTAGAAACCAATTCCTATTAAGCTGCACATAGGTTAAAAAAAATCATGACTTGGTAAAATTATTTCACAGAGACAGAGAGAAAAATTGAGAAAGCATTGCCAAATATAAATACAACAGATGGTGACTATTGATCTAGTTAGGATATTGCATGAAAGTATTTGAAGCAATAATTTTCATCAAAAGGAATTTGCTATCAAAGTGAATAACTATATTGTTTCCTTCCGCGTAATCTGGTTTACCAAGATGAGGCTTTCAAGCACCATCTCACATCTGAAAATGATTGAGCTGAAGAGAAGGAACACAGTCAAAGCAAGAGGGTTTTAATTGACACAATCATGTGATCTCAATAAAGGTTTTACAGACCCTGCCTGATCATTGAATCAATAAAGGCAAAGAGTCAAGGGTCAAACGATAAACAAAGGTTGAACCGAAATTTTATTACATATCGTATAATAATTTACTATTAGTAACTTTAAATAAAAATCATATATGTGAATCAAAATAATCGAAAGTAGAAAAATTTACTGAAATAAAAAATATTATAATAAATAAAGGATAGCATTATTTAGAGAGTGCACCATCTTAATGTCAGAGCAAGAAATTTTTTATAATACCATGATGACTTAATTGCACTTAGCGAACTTAAACATACATTTAGCATTAAACAATACCAAAAATGATAAATTGATATTAAAATGAGTTGATAATATTGAAATAGTAGTTAATAAGCAAAATTTTTAAATAGAAGCACTTCACCATCTAGGCAAACAACAGAAATAATATGAAAAAATAAAAATAAAAAAACATTGGGAAATTTTAACAAACACTTCGTAAGCATATATATTCAACACCACAAAATAAATTTTCTTGCGCAAGAATATTATAACAGGAAGGCAACTGTCTCCAAAACAAAATTACAACTCAATAACATTTCAAATTCGAAAATATTGCGGCTAGGATTTAGGTAGAAAAACAAATTAAAATATAGAACTTAAACCTGTACAAACAAAGAAGTAAATTCTAAATCAGCAGTGTTTACAAATGTTCTTCTTGTTAAAACTCACCAGGTTGTTCAAGAGAGTTTTTAATGGTGAAAGATTGGTAAAACTCTTCAATGGCGCCCATATTCAACAATGCCTTTATACAGTGATGACCGTGGTGATGGTTATATGGTGAAGATGAACATTATTATGGGATCAGAATGGAAATATGGTATTTAAATAAAATATTTGACTAAAAATCAATTAAATAAATAAGATTTAGTATCCAAAATAATTCTAGAACAGGAAAAAAATTGTAGAGGGAAGAAGAGAGGAGTTAGGTTTTGAGAGAGAAAACATGAGATTTGTTGGGCAATTAAGTCATTAATGTGTCATAAAAAATTGCTTGCTCCGACGTAAAGATAATGCTATCTAGAAATAATACTACCTAAATAAATTTCACTATGATAATTTTTTTCAACAAATAAGTGAAATAAATATTATATTATAATATTCCAAATAAAGTAAATAGTCGAAAAGTTTTAAACAATTAATAAATATATCTATGCTAATAAATAATATAAGAGTGGTTTTTAATAGATTTGATACATGATAAATTTTATGAATCAGATACTTTTTAGCCTTATGAATGAGTGAGATCATTGAATAAAATCACATTTATAAACAAGAGTGAAACATTTAATTTGAGAAAAATAATATTCTATAAGATAAGAAGAAAATTTAAAATAAACTTATTGATAAATCATGACTACAGTTTTTGCTGGCAATGTTGAATAAGGAGTGATGTAAGAGTTAAGACAAAATGTAACTTTTAAATAATATTAATTTGTTCAAAGTAATTTAACACAACAAATTGCATATTCTGGCAGTTAACACTCAGGTGACATTCACCACAAACAATAAACATTTTGAAACAAATTTCAATTTATTAATGAGTTGCCAGCAAATAAACCAAACTCAGGTAGGCTCCTCTAAACCCACTAAACACAAAGGGGTGTTTGGCCAGTTGATGACTAAACCCAGTCAGTTCACTTAGTCAAAATTCCCGGTTTTGACCATTCTAGGTAAACGTCCAACCTGAATCAGAAATCTGACCAGCTCCCGAGTAATCCTATTGCATGGACTGGTCTAGTTCGAGTTTGAAGACCATGGATTTCAACTTCAAAGCCTTTTGAAGTGATTTCACTAGTTCACAGTATCATAGGAGGGTACTAGTCTGCCAAATTTTCATCTTGTTTTTATTCTCCAATCAATAAGACGACGCATCATTATCCACACCATAATTCTCTTTTCCCTCAAATTATAAAAGCTCAACAGTTGCACATACACATATCACAAGAGCCAATCTCCTCATCAATAATCACTAGGTCTCCCCTTCCATAACCCAGACAGTCCAAGACAAAGTAATGCCAGGATCACAGTTGTCACAAGTTAATGGAATTCCTAGATTAAATTACCTAGAACAAACAACATTCAGTTAAACAAGTCAAATTTAGATAGTCTTGTTACAGAATTTTATCACAAAGGTGATTTCTGGCTATAATGTTTTATCACCATCCAAGAAAACTGAAATCAGTATGCAATAAAAGAAAAAAAACCCTAAGCAAATCAAAAATAGGATAAAGAAATGAGATAACATACAAAGTTTGAGAATTCTGTTATCTTAAAAGGGCTGAAGTTGATAGGAGCTTCCTCAAGGAACAATTCAACATAGTGCAGCAAGAAGAGGCCACAGTCAAACGAATTTGCCTGCTGTGGCATCTGAAACAAAACCGTTGAAAAAAATTGAATTAGTATATCTTCTCAACTGTAGAAATCCCTGATTTATGCTTTTCTTGAAAATAGTATATTTAAGATAAAAAATTCAAAGCAAATTAGCAAGGACGCAGAAATTTGGAAATGCAAGCTCCAGACTTAAAAAATGTTAACCAATCTTAATTTTAACCCTTCTATTACCCAACGAAGCTAAAATATCTCCAACCCCATGAAGATTTGCAAGGAGCTCTTTTCCTTTTAGAACTCTGTTTTGCATAACTCACAGTATAAGTGAAATCCCCTGTATGTAATAGTTGTCACAGTGTCTTCACATGCCAAGCAATTATAGCCTAGTTTAAAATCTCTTATGCCATTCCATCACTTAAACATAGAAATGGAAAAGCTCATTTGATTTCAGCGTGAGAACTATTTAATTTGAGCTAAACCAAATAAAACCGCCATAATTCCATTTTCTGATTATTATCTCCAAATTATTCCTTTCCAAAAAAAAAATAAATAAATAAATTACTTCTCATTTGCTCTGTGGGAAATTAATCTTCCATCCAAAGCCTGAGAAATGGAAGAAAACATACAAAGAGTGTAAACTACAAAATTAAAACTCCACCGATTTTTATTTAAAAATCAATCAAGGCACTCATGATAAGTAACTTCACAAACTAAGGCAAAACCTCAAGTGGGACAAATCGTAAACGTGAGAACTTCAAAGATACATCATCCGGAGTGTCATTATGCCTCTCTTTCCACTCTTCGCACAGGTAACTGTCACGATATATAAAAACGAAGAATGTAAAACTCAAAGAAAAAAAAAATCAAACAACATCCTTTAAGACTACAAATTTAAACAAAAGCAAACAAATAAGAACAATCTTGAAATAAAATGTAAAAAATTCTCAAAATAGTTTAAATGATTAATGCAATTACAGTTTTCCTGTCCCACCAACTTTAGTTAGCACATTCAACATTTAAGTAGCATTTACGTTTGTTAATATTCACATTGGGACAACCTATTAAATATTAGAACAGATGTTAGTAAGTAAATTGCATTGGGGGAATTGCACAGGTAACAGTACAGTACAACAGGAGATAGGATTTGCGGTGGGAAGAAACAGCTCTCAAAATTCTGGGACCTATGCTGCCCTTTGCAATTGTGGAATGCCAATATTCACATTTGGTTAATAGATACGCAAATGGTTCACATTAATCTTTGGCTCAAAATTATCCAGAATTTGGTTTTTTAAATATGTCATGTTAGTATCATTTCCAGTTGCCCATATGCAGCCTTTTGCAATCATGGAATGGCAATATTCACATTTTAGTTAATTGGTTTGCAAATTGTTTGTATTCATTTGTCTTCAAACTTGTGCAAAATACAGATTTTTAAATGTTTCATGCCAGTATGATTTTACAGTTGCCCATACTGACATCCATTACAGTTCAGTACCCAAAAAGTTGATGAAATTATATTTGTGGCATATTAAGAGATGAAGTATTTCCATGCAGGATCTTTACAAACAACAGTTAGTTAGGCAAAGTGTTTGGGCACAGAAAAGAAGCCAAAGTTCTTTGGAATTTTGCTTTCTTTGTGGCCATATGGAGTTTTTGGATGGGAATGAATGCAATTATTTTCAAAAACAAGATCTGTTTTAATTTGCTATAGAACAAGGTGGTCGTTCTAGTTTCTCTGTGCTTATGCCTCAACAGCCTTAGGGGGCGATGACTGAGTGTTACTCAGCTTCATTGGAGAGAATCACATATTGTCTTGTGTTTATCATCCAATTATGTGTTGGAAATTATAAGGGTAGACTTTTCCTTCAAGTTGCTACCTTTGCTTACAAAATATTGTATCTGACTTTGGTATGCCCACTATTGGTAGCTAGCTTTACAGCATAAACTACTTTCAATTAAAGAAAGAAAAACACCATCTCAGCTCTTTAGGTCCACTAGTGCCAAGTTAATGAAAAGGCAACAAAATATTACTGCCACCATCAAGAATTTTACCTTTGAATAAGATTCTTTAGGCCCCTATGACTTCCTTTAATAGAATCCATGTGCAAGATGCATGGAACTCGAAGTGCCCTTTCACTTTCATCATCTGCAAGATTGTGAAGAAACGAAAAGGAATATGGAGATTAAGTGAAACTACCTAGAAAATGCATTAAAATCAGAAGTCAAAAGCTAAATCAAGTAAGTCCTTGCCTATAAAACAAGCCACATCACCCGGATGACAAACGACTATCAAACTCCAATGAAGACTGCAACCAACATCACATGTTGCATATAAGCAAAAAAGTAACATTAATATTTTCCTGTTCCCCAGCAAAATAAATGCAGAAGTATTTCCTCACCTATAGTTTACAGGAATGAAAATGTAATCCTTCTCAAAAAGGTTCACTTTCTTTGTCCATTTACGAACTCGTTGAAATGCTGCCCTACCCTCACAGGCACTACGTGGGTCCTTGTCAAAGTCAGCAAGCTTCCGAAAGAAAAAACTATTGAAGAAGTGGAACCTATGCTGGTCTTCCGGTTGAATTTTATTCTTTAAATATCTGACAGTAGAACATTATCAATAGATCTAGTAAATATCTAATAGTTCCCATAACCCAAACAAAGCAAATTATTGGCCTCTGCTATAAAGCCCCTTATAACAAATAGACTGAAAAGTGAAAACAACAATTTGACAACATTGTAATCATACTTGAAACTGGTCAGGAAAGAAAATGAACTGAAACCACTAATTGTTTTCCAGGTATTAAGATTATTTGTCAGAATAGTAATTCAACTGTGAATAATTGTCTATTTCCTCCATTTAATGCTGTCTAATTGGCCCATGATAAATGGGTACAAATGCTTGCAATCAGTTTACCCAAATAAGCACAAGAAAGAAATGCATAAAAGAATTGATTTTTATTTAAGTTTTTCATTCACATCAAATAAATTATAGATCTCTTTGAGTTAGGAGAACTAATCAACTGTAAATGGATGAGCCAAAATTAGCCACCAAACCTGTCAACCTGAACTTAGATCGAATTGCTTCCATTAGTCTTTTCAGTTCAAATTATCTGAAAAATCAGTAGCAAGAAAAGAGTTGGAGAGAGATGCCTGGCCAAGATCACCCCTAAGATGTCAGGCCCTAAAAGATGGAGATAAGAACATATGTCAACCTACAAACAACCTCAATAGTTGTAAGATCCTAGCTTGAATTAGCACCTTGGGAAAGTTTCCAAGCATTTTTCCAAAGAAATATGAGTTGCACATATTAAGACAAGTTTAAAAGCAGAAAAGATGTTCTAACTCTGAGCATGGGGTTCAATGTTGATTCAGGATAATTTGCCAATTCAAAGATTAAGGCCCTATTAGGCAACAACTTTTCATGTAGCTTTTAGTGTTTTAAATAAGTCAAAGCACTGTTTTTATTATTTATAATGTTTGGTAGCAAAGCGTTAATAATAGTGTTTAGAGTTTGAGGGAACTTTACTCCCTTTAACGTTTGATGAAATGCTAGTTAAACAGCTGACAGTTACTAAAACAGCTATCAGCTATTAAAACAGTTAATTTTGCCCAACAGGTCCTAAGACACCAACACAAAGCAAGCAAATTATCTGAACTTATAAATCTAGACAGCAGATCATCCTTGAAACCAGTGATCCTTGTACAGCTTCTCATGATTTCTGCATACTTAATAGATTATTTCCAAATTCTATAAACTCTTATGAGCCTAGACAGTAACTTGTAAACTAAACTGTCATCCAATTTAAGACCAAAATTATGAAAAGAATCTCTCCCAGAGATGAACTTCATCAAGAGAGAAATAATTGAAGTACACAGAAGAGACAGGTAAACAACAGAGTATCAATCCCTTCATCTCAAGATATTGCTTCATGACTGTTCTTAATCCTTATATATAAGATTTCAAGAATGAAACAATGCTACAACACATAGGCAATCTGAAAAATGAATTTTTCTAACATGCCCCAGATATTTTCCGATTCTTATTGACATTTTGCTTAAACTTACTTTATGTAGAAGTCGATTATGGTATCGTTGATGAATGTCTCAGGCCGCAGAAGTTCCATGTCTCTCTTACTAATTGAAACAGCATCAGGATCCCCTCTTGGATAAACAACTTCTTCAAAAGTCTCATCAAGACTGAAAAAGAAAAACTTAAATCAAGATGAATCATTGAATGGAAAGCAAGTACAATTAAGTGCGAAAGGGAAGAAAATTATATGATCAGAAACTTTGTGAACGGGAATTCAAGCACAAAGCATGATTGTAAAAAAGATCAATAATAAAACAGTTATACTAATCTACAACTTAAACAGCACAACCTGGCAAGATTAGCAATATGACTCCACACAAATTACTGAGCCAGAACATGTTATTTCCAAATTAAAATATCAAAGTTCTGAAATCAATACAAGCATTCAGCATAAATGTTGAATCTACAAGATTATTATATATTTTTATTGATCTTAATATATCAAGATTCAAAGGAAAATAATAATCATCAGAAAATGATAATTGTTTGAAAATGTTGTGTGCAAATTTAGTTTTCTTGCGGAGTCATTTTGCTCAATTTGTGAAAGAAAGATCATTGTAGCACAGTAGCAGCAGCCAAGTCGGTCTGATTCTACTACACAGTACCTACAACCAATCCCAGCATTCAAAACTCCGATCTCATTATTTAACACCCGGGTTAGAACAATCACAATAACATGGCAGCAAATGCAGCTTCCATGCTTCGAGCATATTAAGGCCTCTAAGTATCGCTCTCACCTGTAAAGACTTGATCAAAGTTCACTAAATTTTTTTCGGACTATGAAGGCGATATTGTTTACTTCTCCTACTCTAAATAGACTATCGTCTACTTTTTTTCACTCTAACAGGAGCCTATTTAGAGAGTGAACCACAAATAACTTTACCAAATAAATGGTGCCCACAACTAGAACTTTACATTTAACTAAAAAACATAAAAGGGAGAAAAAGGTCAGAAATAACATAAGCATTCATCGCAATCCATCAGAACCAAATACTACAAAGATCAAGAAAGAAATCAAACTAATCATGTTGATAATCCTCGTGAGGGTTTTAGCTCGAAAAGGAGAAAAAAAGGGAATATATTCTTTTAACTTACATATAGAGATGAGGCTTTGGGATGCTCATGTTTTTGGACCCTAAAAAGGCATCACCATCTGTTTCCTGATCAGTGCTGTAGCAAAGGAGTAAAAGATAAGTAATTGAAAAAGCAAGCCGTGCCAAGAAAAAGAGAGGGGTGCCATTACAGAAGTGAAATTGTAGTTAACAGTTCCAACTACAAGCCAAAAAACACAAAATTGGCAATGCTTGTATTGAGGTTTTTGAAATCCATGGAATTAAAGAAAAAAACATGGGTTTTTAATTCCATGGATTTGTACAATCCCTCTTGTTTAGTATAGAAATTAAACCTGTGGATTTGCTGAGTACTTTTGTAAATAAAAACTCATTCATTAAAAATGAGGGATTTGGGAAAGTCCCACCTCCCCCATGAGATATCAAAAATCCTCAAGATAAGGGATCATGGTGAATGAGGGATCTGAACAATCTAATAGGTCTTGCCCTGTTGTTGTTGTGCCAAATGAGGGATTTATATCAAATCCATAGATTGTTCAAAATCTCTCATCCGAAAGCCCTCAAACCGAACATAACTAAAGAATAATAAAATTACAAGTTACACAATCAGAAAAGATTGAGTTAACAGTCATGTAGCACAAAAACAGCATATCAATTTATTAAGAAATTTTATCTTTGCGTCAATACACACATGTAGACATATATTGGTGATTGTAAGCAATAATATCTAACACTCACTCAAAAATAACATTCCAGATATCTCTATATTTGGAATCCAATGATTTGATTGCTTCCTGTCCTTCAAACCAATCAGGATCATAAACTGAAAATTTCAATTTGTCAATCCCTGCATGCATTTAGGGGAAAAATATATTATTTGATCTCTACTCATTGAAAAGAATTTTTAATATGATCCTACTTTTCTTCATGGAATTTATCCAATAAAATAATATTTGAGTACAAGCAAGAAGAACAAAAAAATGACTATTTCTCATATTAGCAAAAGGATTTTAAGAATCATCAATGTTTGCTTTTCTGTACCTAAGAGGCAGGTGAAAGAAAAAGACACAATGAAGAGATTTTTGGTACAGCTGATAAAATGGTATAATGCAGATTTTGGTATAAGTGAAATTACTTGGCATCAGACCAGCAGAATGATTATACGTTGGTGCAAGTAGTGAACAATACAGAATTTCAAAAAGTACTCCCCAGCATTTAGAGGTGCAAGACCCCTAATCAACAAAAAGGAAAATTAAGAACAGAGAGTGCATTTTATGCTGCTTTCTTGCAATGATTTAATTTTTAATCCATCAATATATATCACATAGCCCAATAGTACTAGTTAGCAGAAATGTACAAACCTGGAATTTCATTTGCAGTTCCAGATCCTTTAGAAACCTTTGATTTAAGACTAAGATTAAGCATAGCAGTCTCAACCTGCATCCATTGTATATGAGAAATTCAATAGACAAATTACAAGTGAATAATGAAAAGAGTAAAAACTGGGGACACTCACCCTCCCCCACCATTCAGACTCAATGCTCATAATATCACCAATGGCCCATTTAGCTTTAAAAGATCCTTTGGCCCCATTTACAGTAGAACCCTCAACACTGATGCAGCTGCTTGAGAAAGTTAAACGAGACTCTGTACAATATATGTCATCATATAGGATAAAATCGGGGAAGATAACAACTGCATTATTTAAAATATCCTGCAAATGGGAAAAGATAATGCTTGAGGAAGATTTCAAAAGAAAAGTACAGAAATTTAGGCATACAATTACTTAGACAAATTCCTAATGATTACCCTAATTTATCTCAAGCTGAATGATTATTCCTATATTCCAAGGATAAGAATATTCTTACACTAAGCATCATCACTCTTTATCCTTATGCTTCACTTATTTAATCCATAATTTATAAATAAATTGAGACACTCATAGGCAGAGTGGCAGATTCAATCTGCACCACATCAATGCTCCTTTAATACATAGAATTTTGTGTATTCTCCTTCATGCACATTTATTAATCAAAAAGTATTTTGAAATTCTTACAGACCCAACCATTTGTAATAACATCTTCAGGAAACTATCAATACCAAATATAAATATATGTAAATATAAAAACAAAACTGAAACAATTACTCGTTTAGAAAAAAAATTTCAAACAGTTCAAAAAAAAAAAAAAAATAACACTTACAATCTTATGCCCAACAGAACAACATTCTGGCACTAGATCTTTGGATGGAACTGAAACAGTGCAGAGGTTTTAAGTAACATCATAGATTAATATGCTACTCGGAGAAGAAAATGCAGAATAAGCTTGCAGGTAAATTATAAAAAATGGGGAGAGCAAACCTTCTTTCTCTCCAAGAGTAGAGACGGAAATCGATGAAGAACTCATTTCACTTTTTTCATCATCGTCATCTAAAATCATATCCACTGTTTTCTGCAATAATTTGATTGAACACAAATTATTCAAATAAGAAGAGTGCATCAGCAAAAGACTAAATATCAGGTTTCAGTATGCCAATCAAGTGTTTGGATGCAAACTAAATTTCGCCCGTCAATATGGATTCTCACTCTGAGGTAACTCAATTTAGAAAGAGATTTATAGTAATTGGGCTAGAATAAGCATACTTCATCATTTGAAGAACTGGATGGCACATGTGCATCCAAACAACATATCTCCTTAACATCACCATCTTCTTGTACCATGCACATAGGAAGTGAAATGGAAGGTTTATGAGAATTGCCTAAATCATTAGCATCAATATCTATCAATTCATTGACAACTTCCTCGCTTAGAGTCTTCATCCCTCCTGCAGTCGTTGCATGACGAACATAATATAACACTGAAATTTCATATTTGTTTGACCAAACATAAACAAACTTAAGTGATATTGTTACTCACGTCCTGAGTCAACATCAATTGGTCCATCATCAAGAACAATAGGTTCATTGCCTCTTTCCTTTTCTTGAGCCCTGGCACATCCTGGCACTTCATTGCGTGACGTACATAATATAACACTGAGATTCATAATTATTTGGGAAAACATAATAAACTTGAGTGATATTGTTACTCACGTCCTGAGTCAGCATCAATTGGTCCACCGTCAACAACAATAGGCTCACTTCCTCTTTCCTTTTCTTGAGCCCTGGAACATCCTGCAACTACATTTTAAAATAAAGAAAAAAGTTTGGCAAAATACACTCTTAAATAATATAGCAACAGCAAAAACAAAGCAATGATACTGACATCTATAACATTAAAATGCATAAACAGAAGAGGAGGAAATATAGTTCAGCCAGCCACAGTTCAGCTTATTTTTGTTTTTGTTTTGTTGATCATATTCAACCAATTTCAGCATTAAATTTTCTGATTCATCATGAGTGAAATAAAATTCTTTATGTTCTCAAGAATTTCAGAAACAAACAACTAACTAAATCATCAGCATCATTTTAGTAGAAACTGAAAAATATAAGACAAAATTAATACGGTTTCAAACTTATTCTAATAAAGAGAAGAAAAAAAAAAAGCCAAATGGTTGGAAGTGGCTTAGCAGAGTAGTCCTTCGACCAAGATAACCCAATGTCCCATCACATAAAAGAACTAGACACTAGAAATTCTTGGAAAAAAAAAAAAGAATAAAACAAGTCCCAGCGAGAACTAAAGTGTCACACAAAAAGACTACAAGAGGGACTTGTCAATTTTTTGTATTATTTTTACATATGATTGGACTGGAAAAGAATGAAACGCCTTCAATTCATAATGAAATCCCTAGTTTCCACATTTTCTGACTCACCAGATATTTAGTGTTAACTACAGAGGGGGGGGTGGATTCTAAAAAGAAAGCATCAACAACAACTGAAACCCACACAAATAATTCAAATTAGGTAGGTTTATTTTAATGCTTGTTCTCTCTGAAAACCCAAGGGTGAAATTCTGACATAAAAATCAGCCAGCAGTTAAAGGCTAAACAAGTACATTTCATCGATTAAGAGCCCATTTGGCATCATGATTGAAATTGCATTTCCAGAAAAGCACCACTTTAGATGTTGTAACGGTTCATAGGTTGTTTAGCTGTTTTGTAACTTTTATGCCAAGCAAATGTGAAATTCACCTTAACGATAAACTTCGATAAACTCTTATTAACAGTTTCAACGAGTAAGACTGGTTGACAATATACAGATAAACTACAATTATTATACCTACTTAGTATAATGCGTGAAAGCTGCCTATCACCTAACCGCAATACCGGAAAGCACAGTCTCCTCCACATTCATACGCATGCAAGGGCAATTCATCAACCATACGCACATACATACAAGACAACACTTTAAACTGCAACGCCAATGGCAACAGCTGCATTTCCCTTACCTTACCCAAATTTTTTCATCACCAAAATCAATTGCATTAATAGTACATTCAACATCACTCCATTCAGCAAATTTAGGGTTCCAAAAATTGTTTTAAAAAAAATAAACAAAATATAAAAAAAAAAAAAAAATACTTGAAAATAACGGAAAATTAGAACTTACAGAATCCGAGAAACTTATATTTGGTGATCGGAGAAGACAAGTCACACTTTCTCTTCTTAGAGTTTCCAAATTTCCCGAGTAATTTCTCCGACATCTTCTCAACTTTCTCGTCATCTTCATTGAAATCAAACACGCTGTATCGCTCGCTTGAACTCACACCTAAACTGGGAGTGCGAGTCATGACTCGCTCAATCTCACACGTCCGAGTCCCAATTCAACGCGAAAACAAGACAATGAAGCGACGATGATTGGCTTTAATGTTTCTTAATAATTTAATTGTATTACGGACTGTGTGTTTAAGAAGATTCGCATGGCCGTTCGTTAGGGAGCTGTAGGGGTTTTTCCATTTTCTTTTTTCAAATAAGAAAAATTGACAAATGGATTATAGAAGGAAAGTCAACGCTCGGTCAATGGGCCCAGTAAGTGGATGACATAAGTAGCTATTTTTATTTATTTTTTATTTAATAAAGGGATTTGACGTTCCCGAACCGGTGGTCCGGATGATTTAGAATCATTGATTTGATTCCAGTTTGGTTTTGGTTCGAAAACCGAAATTATAAAACCATTTTTGTAGGTTTTTTTTTAATTTTTTAATTTTATTGCATCATGGATAGTAATTACAAGTATAGTATTGACAATAACAAACTAAATTAATTTAACAAAAACTTGTAAAATTTATTTGTAAAATTTATTTAAGAGTTATATAAAAAAAATGAATCAGTGCGGTTTCAAACAGAAACCGTCATTCTGGCCTTAAAAATTTGAGAAATTGGAAGTAAACTACAGGCATATAATTAAGTTATACTTTAAAAGTAGAAACTGTTAATTTCGATTCAATTATGGTCTGATTCTAGTTTGAAACCAGAACCCTAAGTCATGCTTAGGAGTTGTCCTTGTAAATGGACCTTGGTTTCAGGGTTCGGATCATTGGGTTTATGGATTCGGATTCTGACAAATTGTTCAGAATTTTAATTGCAGGGCCACTAGTAAATGTCAGATATAGGTTATAACGGTTAAAGAATTTGAATTCCTAATTTGCAAATTTTGTGATTAGAACCATGAAATAGGCACCTCAATGGGAAAGGGGCGACCAATGAGGCCTTAGCTACATGACTAAGACAGAAGCAAGGTACCAGATTCAAAAACTAGCCATTCGTCTTCGATTGGTAATTTTGTCTCTAATAGATTTGTCTGCCTGTGAAATAAAATAGCTAAATTTATGTATACGAGCTAAACCAATGAATTGTTTATTTGAATTTGCAAGTCAACAGAATAATTTTGTTTTTAATAATTGATTCAATAAAAATGTAACGTGAATTACTATATGTGACGTGACCAACAACAAATCTCAAATGATGAAAAGGGTTCAAATTGTTGTAACTGTTGCCCATAGTGCAGAGAGTGTAGACGTTCATTATGTATAATATCGAATACAAAAAAAAAAAAAAAATAGTGCAGAGCAGTGTAGACGTTCATTATGTATAATATCGAATTACAAAAAAAAAAAAAAAAAGTTCGTTTTTCAAATGAAGAAAAAGGCGTGTCAAAATTATATTATTTGGATCAGTAAGCTTGGTTAGCCAACTTAAAAAAAACAGGAATAGTGTTATAGTTTAGGCAAAACTACACATACGTTCAAAAAGAAACTTAGAATGAAATGAACGTTGGAAAGCAAAAATTTTCTTTCTTTAAGAGATGAAGCAGAAAAATTTCCATTGTTATCCAAAAAACAAAAGCAAAAAGTCTCTGTTGATCACCGGGGACTTCGTGCTTTCGACTGAACTTGACTGATGGAAAAATAACAGTTAATGTTTAATGTTCGTTTCAGGCAAGCCTGCACTTTTGCCAGCACTCAGGCGTCCACGTGAAAGATCAAGCGCCTGTAACATACAATAACCAAAAATTTGATGGTCAATAGCAAATTCCGTGGAATAATATACCAATAACATTTTTATAGTTAGAAATTTCAACTAACTAGCAAGAAACAAGCGTCGTTAACCTTCCGGTAATCTTACAGGTACATTGCAATAACATGTTCATTCTACTGTGGGTCTCAAAGTGTGATGTTGCATTTCATAAACTCGTGCAAGTTACATTTTAAGCACTAAATATGTAAAACAACGGAAATAAAAATAAAAAAAGACTATTAGTTGCTAGTTTGTTTCAATTAGAAACTATTATTCACCTAATGCAAAAAATTTAGCTAGGAAGGCAAGCTTAAATATCCACTTGCACTTATCCACAAACGGGGCTTAGGCAATCTCTTTTATCTAAGGAAAATGGAAATGATAAAGTATGTTGTCTATGTGCACTTACAGCAGAATACAAACCAATGTATCATCTTCAGAATTGTTTATGGGTTCCGTATCTGTCGTAGGCATTCATTAGAATATTTCATCCACCAGGACCAAGCAGATCAGTCCTGGCTTCAGTTTCTTACTGTCAGGTGTGTCAGGTCTCTGCTTCAGTCGGAAACAAAAGCAATTATAGTTTTCCTTTAGGGGCGGCCAAACATTGTGGAATAAGAACAACAGAAGAAGATACCTGCCAGCAATATCAAAATTATGAAACTTTAACTAACTAGCAAAACGATAAAAGGACATGTATGGTAACTCATGCACTAAACAAGTAGGACTGTCTCAAATGGCGTCCAATGCACCCGATTTGAAGAGTCCTACTTTATCTACCTCCTTATCATGCCCATAAACAAGTTAAAAAAACATTTGCAGGCGGGGACATAACTTCTGCCATTTGCTTCTTTTCAAGTCAAAAGTGGGGTGGCATTGCGGGACCCGAGTTTTTGGACAGGACTAAAACCATGTGAAGATTAAGGATCGTACATATGGCAATAAGTTGAATTTTTGAAAGGTACAAGAGGAAAAGGAAACAATAAGTTTAGTGGCATACCATATCTGAATTTACGGACAAGTTGCTTCTGTGGCAGGAATTAGCTGGACAAGAGGTGAGAATCGACTAGTGTTTTGGAATTGGATGGCTCAGTTATACATATTAGCACGAGTAACTTTGTCCAACCTTGTCTTACCTATTGTGTTGAAGCAAGCTGCAATTGACTAGTGTCCAGTTTAAAGTGATTGAAGTTCATAATAATTATTTTTGTTCGTTTGTTAGACAGTACCGTTGTCTGGCATATTACGATGGGTCACAAACACTTTCTTGCATTTGTAGCAGTCTCTCCTTCAGAGGGGTCACACCAATGGCTTTCCCATCCGCACCAAAACTCTACCTTTTTGTTAAAAAAAAGTATATATTTTTAAATTTAGCTGCATGCACAATTCAATATTATATGTTATATATCCAAAGGCGAAGGTACCGGCTTTTCGCAGCGTATGGTCAAATTTAACCTTACATTCTGGCTTTGAGCATGTAAGTTCCACCATTATACTGCACTTTAAGCGTGCAAATGCCTGCCAAAACACAAATGTTAAAAGCAGCAATATTTTTGTGCAGCACAAATCCAGAAGAAACAATTAATTAACTAACCTGAGGCCAATTCTCCTAGTCCGTACATTGGATAATAGTAAGGTGCATCCTCCCTGAAAGCGGTGCTAAAGGGACTCTGCATTAAAGCTTGTAATGAAACAAATTTGCTAAAAAAATGGTTAGAATGTAACTCCCAACAGTCAAATGACTAAAAAGGGGGAAATCAAAGAAAATGGGATTTCTTGATTGTATTTACCAAGTTTCTCAAGTTTTCTAAATAGTGTTAAATTAAGATAAAAAAATTGAAAACCGCTAAAAACATTAATTGCGTCTAAAACCAATTCAGTTTAACGTACTTAAAAAAATACATGCTTGTAAGCTAGCCGTAACCAAACATGGACCTATCACTTCGCTTTGAGGAGGTTGTAACGAAAGTATAATGCAATATATATATGAAATGCTAATAAATTACGGCCATACAAAATATATTTTGATTGTATTAGGCATGTATGGCTCAGCAAAAGGGGCCTAAAAGTTCATTATGCGCACCTTTCCATTCTCTTCACAAAGTCCAGAGCAGGGTTGGTCTAAGTAATTATCATTCAAGGTGAAGCCGCCAATGCATGACCGATAAGTCAATTGTTATCATCTTCTAGCCCATATTTTTCTTACAAAAAAGAATAATAACTATACTTGGAGACTTTTGAAATTATAAGTTAAAGACAACTATATCAAAAATGAGTCATACGAGATAATATCTCTTGCAGTTAACGTTTATTCCAAATCAAGAACTCCCTTCATGAGGATTGTTGGATCATTGTCTCTATTAGTCTTGAAAACATTAAATGAAAAATTTCGCGCACGGGACGCGCTTCTCAAACCAAGTCCCATCAATGGTGATTTCACGCTTCAACATCATGTTGCAGGGACTTTATATATCTGATAATCAGTATTACTGAATTTATATGATTCGAGCACAAAAAGTCAACACAAGGGAAAAAAAAAATGCAAAAACTAAAAGCCTCGCCCATCATTACCTTTCCTTTATGTGTATACAGTAACTTCCATCAACAGGCCTTGAAGTTATAAGATACTTGTTGCGTTAACATCAGGTGTGATGAGAACCACGAACCCAAATTCCCATTTGCAATAATTGGAACTTATCAAAAGAAATATTACAAAATAAAGTTAGAAAACAATCAGAAAGCTTTGTCTTGGACTTGATATAAGACCACATACCTTAGGTATCATATAAACATGTATTAACCTCCCTTGCTGGTACCCAAAGCTTTCTGGAGGCTTGTCACGTTCCCCAAAGCGCTTCCAAAGCTAAAATCATATTAAAAGAGTTAGAAAATATGTAACTACAACTATAAGTGTTTTAATTATTGATAAAACAAAAGAAAGTTTCATTAATGCAAGGTCAAAGCAGGAAAATCATAAGCTTGCGTTCATTGGACGAACCTTGCAGAGTTGGGGGTCCAAAACCCGTTTGAAAAAACTATAAAAAATAGGGGCAACACGACTTCTAAAATCAATAGTCTCGTATTCAAAAGAGGTGTCAGATAGTTTACAGGATGTCAATCCATGGAAAAACACTTACAAGAAGGGCAGCCACACAAATTCAAAAATGAACAGTCTAATATAAAAAAAGGGTATTGAAAAATGTCGGTAGGAAATCAGAAAAATTATATAATATATATATAAAAGGGAAAATTCACACTTGCAGCTATTAGGCGAATAACCTGATTTAAGAGTTAAGAGAGGATGATTCTCCTCCAAATAAGTAGTCATTGGCGATCCATATGCAACACCTGTTGAATTAATTACATTGCCAAATCATATATTATTGACTTATGGCCAGCCCACTATATATTGAAACAGATAATATTCATGAA